TCGGTTGTGACCTGGGGTGATGCTCGTCACGGTGGGTGACAGTAGTGCTGTGCAGCATCAGCTAAAGACTGATGACCAGATCTGATGCTGCTTGAAGCCCTAAACCCTAAACCCTAAACCCTAAACCGAGCTTGATCTGAACGTGGTCAAAGCCCGAAGTCTTCAAATCCTGGAACCATGAAGTCCAAGCCGCCGTACAAAACCCTTATGACAGTTTAACATTCATCATAGGCACGCCACAAAACACCCAACAGGAAGTATCTCTAGGAACACCGGATAAAACCTTAGAAGACTCCTGGAAGCCAGAGAAAGGATGATCCCCCAACATTCCTTAGACCCTCTCTACCTGGACCCTAAGAAATCCGCTTGTTGTTGAGGATTTATGTAAGGAAATCATACTAAGGAGCCCGGAAAAGGGGAGGCTTCTTAGGGCCCAGGTCAACAGTAAGCCTGAAACTACCCTAAACCCTAAACCCTAAACCCTAAACCCTAAACCCTAAACCCTAAACCCTAAACCCTAAACCCTAAACCCAAACCTTTCCAAGAGAACAGAGGCCGAAAGGCGCCAAACCTTTGGGGTTTATAGTGCGCCCCAGGAAAGTTGGAACATTGAATTCTAGGATGATTTAGGGTTCAGGGTTTAGGGTTTAGGGTAGTGCTAGGATTCCCTGCGCTTTACCATCAGGGCGTGAGGATCATGTTGTCCCAGCTTTCTGCCCTAAACCCTAAACCCTAAACCCTAAACCCTAAACCCTAAACCCTAAACCCTACTAAACCCTAAGCTTTTACTATAGGGTCTCCCCAAGAAGAGGGCCATAGCCGTGGCAGGTCGTCGAAGTGCAGAGAGAAACCGCAAGGGCGCTCTGCAAGGCCGTTTGGGGCATCGGGTTTGGGTTTAGGGTTTAGGGTTTAGGGTTTTGGGTTTAGGGTTTAGGGTTTTGGGTTTAGGGGTTTAGGGTTTAGGGTTTAGGGTTTAGGGTTTAGGGGTTTAACGCTTGGGGTTCAGGGTTTCAGGCTTAGGGTTCAGGGTTTCAGGCTTAGGGTTTAAGGCTTAGGGTCCAAGGCTTATACGGTTTAGGGTTTAAGGTTTAGGATTGGCCAACGCAGCGCAGGGCCCAGGAGGGTTTAGGGTTTAGGGTTTAGGGTTCAGGGTGTAGGGTTTCTCTTAATTCAGGGGGCTGCCCCTAACCCTAGAAACCCTAGCCCCTAACCGTAATCCTGATGCAGCGAGTCGTGGATTGCCTTGCCTTCTTAGAACCCTCAGGGTCCAAGTAGTCCTTATTTATGGTTTTAGGTGCCCAAAAAGGCCCCAAAGTCCTTAGATAATGGGTACTTGGACCCTCAGGGGAAGGCTTTCTTTTTCTCACGTCCGTACTTGCGGCTGCACTGCGCGGAGTTGTCACCCTAAACCCTAAACCCTAAACCAGCTTTTGCAAATTTTTGAACGTCTGGTTCGGCCAACTTCCGGCCGGACTCTCAGGGTTTAGGGTTTAGGGGTTTAGGGGTTTAGGGGTTTAGGGTTTAGGGTTTAGGGTTTAGGGTTTAGGGGATGTTATTAGGTTTTTGGGTACCGATCAGGTTTTGACAGATTTCGCATTGTTCGGCCAGATGCTGCTTTCTGCGGTTCTGCAGTTTCCGGCAAGGCTGTTGGGATTTCCGGTCAGAGTTTAGCAACTATTTGCGTTTCCGGCCGGATTTCGTTTCCCCGTCTCCTCCAAATCTCGGCAAAACTTCACGATTTCTGCAACTTGCGATCTCGCAACTTTGTTTCATTTGCACCAAACGTTCTGGCGGTGCCCTACTTCCCCAAAAGGCTTGCGTGCTTCCCGCCTATAATCGAAGCCGATTTGGTTGGCTAGTAGTGGCCGATTATAGGTTGAAGAAGTTTAATATTGAGTTACAACTAATTCTGCTTATGATGATGAAAACCCACTAGATTCTGCACTGGCGCGCAATGGCGCAACCACTACAAGTTGAGGGTCAAACCCTAAACCCTAAACCGTAAACTCTAAACCCTCAAGCCTAAACCGCAAACTCTAAACCCTAAACCCTGATAAGTTTACCAAGGTTTCAGGGTTTGGTGTTGAGGCTTTGGGGGAGACTTCGGGTTCGGTTTAGGGCTTTGTTTTAACGGTTGGTTTCTAAGGGCTACTGCAAGGGGTTCCGGGTGTAGACATTCGGGGTTTATATAGGGTCAAGGGTTTAGGGTTTAGGGTTTAAGGCAAGGGGTTCCGGGTTTAGACAGGGTTAATAGTTGTCTTGACTGTTGGTCGTTGTTCCTTCTTGCTCGCTTGCTTGAATGTGTCTGTATCTGCATGCTTATGCTCCGCAACAACAACAGGACTAAACCCCACACCAGGAAACCCTAAACCCCTAAATCCGACATCGCATGCCCTAAACCCCTAAATCCGAAACCGCAAGCCCTAAACGCTAAGCCCTAAACCTCAAAGCTGAAAGGGCCAACTCCACCAGGCCTTCGGGGGTTCATCGCAAGCCCTAAACCCCTAAACCCAAAAAAAGCCTAAACCCNNNNAAACCCTAAGCCCTAAACTTCAAAGCTGAACGGCAGGCCTTCGGGGGTTCGACAGCTCCAGGCCACGGCCTTGCGCTCATGCCTTGGGTTTCGCGGATTCGGACCTGTCGGGCCTTGACGGGATTAGGGTTTAGGGGTTTAG